GGTTCTTGTTTAAGCATTTCATGGCTAGTTATTTGCTTTTTTGTTAATTGATAATCCATCCAGCTCCATAAATTTTCAATCGGGTTTAAGTCTGGTAATCGTTATGGCTAAGGCATCAGTTAAATATTATTTTTAAGGAAATGATCAGTAATCGAATGTGCTGTATGGCATGGAGCATTGTCTTGTTGAAATAACCAGTTTTGATCAGCCTGAAATAAAATTGCAACTAGGGATAAGCGCGTTTTCCAAAATGTCATGATACTCATATTGGTTTAATCTTCTTTTGTATATTTTATGACAGCCAACCCCTGAGCCTGATACACATCCCCATATGCCGACAGAACCATTACCTTTTTGAATACGGCTTAGTAGGTGTTGCTTCAAATATTTTTCCGTATTTTTACCACGAAAAGATCTTGTTTTTTCGCTTTTTTAATTTCGAAATGTGATTCATCACTAAAGATAATCATTTTCCATTGTTCTACTGAATAATTTAAATGCTCTTTGCACCATTTTTTTTTTGTCTTTGGCGATCCGCTATCGTCAACAAAGGCTTTCTTACACCATGAAACGAATTTAATTCATTCTTGCGTAATAGCTTACTTAATGTCATTCGACTAACTGCTTATCCTACCAGTGAACTATTGAATTCTGCACTTAAAGTTGATACTTCCTTTTTCGCTTACTCGCTTACTCCCTTACTCGCTTTTGGGTTACATCTGCTGAGCGTGTAAAGCATGTTTTCATTGCGTGACGTCTGTTTTTTTGGACGCCCAGTTTATCATTGATACTACCAGCTGATAAATAATTTTTTATCGTTGTACGAACGCTAAAATCAGATATATTAAGACATCTGCCAATTTCTCTATTGCTTATTTTCATTTTATGCATTCCAATGACTTGCCATTTTGTTTTCGATGAAACAGCTCTTTTACCCATGAAAATATGATACTTTGAAAAAGTTGGATCAGTTGAAAATTGCTGAACATTGAATCAAATTGTAGTTTCGGTTCAAAATAAATTAAGATCCCTATTCTTTATTTATTCAAAATAAATTAAAAATAGGGATCTAAAAGAATTATCCTAACACTAACAGGCTGTTGAGTGATAAAAATGCAAAAGACTATACAATAAAAAATCTCTCAATAAATGAGTGTCACACATTTTCTTATAAAAGTGCATCTCATCAATTTATTGGTTTCTCATTTCTTAAAATAATTATTAACGTTAAAAAAACAAGTGCATTTAAACTTTCTGTACATGGTATATATATATATATATATATATATATATATATATATATATATATATATATATATATATACATATATATATACATATATATATATATATGTATATATATATATATATATATATATATATATATATATATATATATATATGTATATATATGTGTATATATATATATATATATATATATATATATATATATATATATATATATATATATATATATATATATATACATCTCATACATCTCATCAATTTATTGGTTTATCATTTCTTAAAATAATTATTAACTTTAAAAAAACAAGTGCATTTAAACTTTCTGTACATGGTGTATATATATATATATATATATATATATATATATATATATATATATATATATATATATATATATATATATATATATATATATATATATACATATATATATACATATATATATATATATATATATATATATATGTATATATATATATATATATATATATATATATATATATATATATATATATATATATATATAATATATATATATATATATATATATATATATATATGTATATAAATATATATATATATATATATATATATATATATATATATATATATATATATATATATATATATATATATATATATATATATATATATATATATGTAAAGCAAAAGATAGTCAAGCCAGTAAACAAAAGTAAATCTTTTTTTCTCAAAATATTTATTACTCAAAATATTTTTTATATTTTTCCAAAAAATACACTAATACAAAGTATTTTTATATAATTGATTAAATAAACTTTAAGCACTAGAGGCCTTTCAAAAAATCATTAGTAGTATATATACACAAATAAAAGTTGAATTATAGTTGAAATGATTGACCTTTGTTAATGACACTGTTGAAGGTTTTACAAAAGTCTCTAGAACCAACTTCTGAGGTAAATTAGGATGTAGTAAATTAGAAGTAATGTGCCTTAATATCAGATAACACCTTTTTACATTGGTTTATTATATTAATCATATAATGTTCTTGGGAGAATTGTATTTTCAAAAACAAAAGATTTTTATTAGATATGGCAACTGTACAAGAAGATAAAATCTAAGTTGAATGAGGTTTGACTTAAAACCAACTAGAAAAAAATAAAGTTATGAGCAAAAATTTAAATTAAATATTTTTATAGCTGCCTGGATCCAGGAGGTTGCATAAAAGGCGCTTTGTATCAGCTGAGTGGGAAAAGACATCAGCTCAAGCACTTTCACAATTAAAATCACGAAAAATATCCTAGTTAGCTTTAGGATAGTAGAAATTCGTGCGTTGATAGTGTGAGTCCAAAGAAAAGTGATTGAGTGAAGAGGTGTTTAATGGAAGCATATAAAAGAATGGTCAGAGAATTCAAACCTGATTTCTTAACAAATAGGTTAATTGATGCGTAAGTATAGGCCCAAGCCAAGCATGTGACTATTGGTGTCTTAGTAAATCAAACCATCTATACTAAGATCTGAAAAAGAAACACCTGAATTTAATTTAGTTTCACAAAGAGCAGGTAAGCCTGCTGAATTGTGAAAGAGGTAAGATTCAACTGATAGAAAGTTACTTCAAAGATAACAAACGATTTTTTGTGATGGTTTTTTGTGTTTAAGTTTTTTGGTTAATTTAACCTGGAGCAGTTAAAAGAAGTTACTTCTGTTAGCAGTAATCTCTTTAGTTGTCCATCTCCATAGAGATTTTGAAAAAGCATTAGGAAAAACATTACATCTAAAAGAATTCTGGAAGTTAAGATGAGTGTACATAGTTGTAGTTACTAGTTCGTAACTGAGCTATCACTACTCTATTGGTTCAAGCAGAACATACATATAGTAACTTAAGAGTTAGCAAGCAACACGTCAGAGTTTCAGACAGAACACAAACATATATACATACAAACTTGATGAGAGTTCAACTAAAATCTACTACATTATAACAGAAAACTGAAAAGAAAAAAAAAAGTTTTTTAGTGTCTAAACTTTACAAATGAAAAGGTTGCACATGATCTTTTAGGAATTATTACAGATTTTCCGAAATCATATTTCTTAAAATACAGCTTAAAAAAATATATATATTTTATTATAGTTTATGTCTTTTTAATATACAGTGGGCGGCCAAATTATTAGTTACACTTGTAAAAAATATCATATTAATTATTATTAGCTCTTTTACGTATTCTTATGTTAAACTTTTATATAAATATTAGTGCTACTAGCTTAAATAAATATTTTTCTTTAAAAAGTTAAATACATTTTTAACACTATTACTATTTTGAAGCATTTATTTTTAAAAAAATCATAATACAAAATGTTTTTTAGTATTTAGTTGGGCTGCTTTTTGCATCAATTACTGCTTGTATCCTTCTTGACATACTTTAGATGCGATTCTTTACATTTACTTTTAATTCCTGATCATTATGCCAGGCATTATCAAGTGTCTCTATGAGATTTTTTTGTTGGTTATAGTTTCATACCCAATTATCTGCCTCAAAAGTTCCCAGGCGTTCTCTATTGAGTTTAAGTCGAGATTACCAGGCCATGGTAAAATAGTAACATTTTTTGACTCTAAATATCTTGTCACTGATTTAGCTTTATGGCATCAGTCAGAATCATGCATAAAGATGCATTTGGATGGATCAGGAAACCAATCTGTGACTGAAGAAGTAATTTAGTAGCTACTAATTTTTTATATTTATCCTGGTTTATCATCCCTTCGACTAAATAATGAAGACTACCTTTACCACTTATAACTGATCCACACTGTCATCTTTAAAAGATGTTTTACTGACTCCATAACACAGTCTGTGTTATATTTTTCTTCTTTTCTTCGCCTTACTAAAGAAAACTTACCCAATAATATTTTAAATTGGGGCTCATCTAAAAAACACAGCTAAAAACAATTAAAAAAAATATAAAAATGATTTAATCATTGATGTACTCACAGGTCTGTAGCATTTAAACTCCAGTTCTGCTATTCGACACCTTGTAGTTTTGTCAGAAATTTTGATACCGGTTTCTTGTATGATTTTAGTAACTGCTTTTGTACTTTTTCTTTGGTTTTTAACACAAGTGTCATGAATTGCCCGTTCATCTCTTGGGGTAGTGATGCGTGGTCTCCCCACATTTTCCACTCCTGTAACTTTGTACAGGTATTTTTTTATCAGGTTTACCCTTACTGCCATTACAGAAAATTTAACTAAATTTTTAATTTTTCTTTGAGAGTGATTTAAATGTTTTAATAAAGCAGATATTTCCGTAATTTTTTTGTTTAATATATCTTAAGTTTTTACCATCTATAGGCACTAAATCTCAAATATTATTAGTTTAAATTATGTATTAATATAAAAAAAAAGACGTCAAAGTAAAAAAAAACAGTTGGCAAAACTTTTATTTATTACACGTTACAAGTTGACAAAACTTTTATTTATTACACGTTACAAGTTGACAAAATTTTTATTTATTACACATGCGTTATCGCGCAAATTTTACAAATAATATGCATAAAGATGTATTTTGCAGGTTTTAGCATATTCTAGCTTATAGATGCCGAAAATTGCCCCATTAATTTATAAATATTGCAACTTCATAAAAAAAAATGTTGAAAAATATTATTGATATTAAAATCTTAAAGAATGTAAGAGTAGAAACAAATTTTAAATTTCATTTAAAATTCATATTTAATTGTAGTTTTTGTAAAATAAAATATTTTTTCTTTTTATCTTTATTTCTAGGGTTTTCGTGCTGAACTTGGTGCAAGTGGTTCATTTTGCCCCAAACACGTTATGTTACCTGTTAAAGTTCACTACTTTCAATTATCGGAAGATAAAAGTGTCCCCTCACCTTATCTGGTTAATAAAGTGTTGATTACTTATTATAGTTTATGTGCAAAAAATGTGACATACATTAACAAGTTTTTTTTTTAGGGTCATATAAGTCTATGTGATAGCTTGTTGCCAGGAAGAAAGTATAGAGTTCCAAAAAAGGGCACAGTACAACTAGTAAATAATTTATTTTTTACATTGAATATTTGTTTTAAATATTTATTATTAATCTAATTTAAATGTAAAACATGTAGTTGCATAAAAGAAGCTTTTGAAATGCGATTTAAATTTAAATTAGATTTATCTATAATCTTATGTTTATTGGCTTCATATTGACGTATTTTTAATTGATGAGCGTTTTTTTTTTTGTCAATTTTTTTTTGAAAAAAGTTATTTCCTTATTTTGTAATTTACTTTATTTGATTTATTTGTTAACCCTAAAATAGTTTACTAGTAAGACAAGTAATTATTACTGTTATTTCAATAGTTCACTGGTTGTTTTAATAATTTAATGAATTTTACAAGATAAAAATCAAGTTTGGAAAAAAAAATTCTATAAAAGTTTTTTTTCAATGAACATCGTAGCGTTTTTTTTTAAAAAAAGAAAATATAGTGTGGCTTGACCACACTATATTGGTAGGCAAGTAAATTAAGATGCGAATGGTTGCAAAAAGAATTCAGAAGAACAATTACTTGTCGCTTTACTTGTTATACTAATCAACAAAAAAAAAAATTCTTTTTATGCAGGATTGTTGAAGAAATTTTCATAGATACATATTTTTGCAAAAATATGTATCTATGAAAAATTAATAAAATTGAAGTTTTATTATTCTTTTTTATGATGTTTTATTATTCTATTTTATTAGACAGTTTTTAACCCAAACGATACCGTAGTAAAGATGTTTATTGTGTTATACAATTATACTGATATGCCTCCATCATCAAGAACGTTTCTCAGACAAAGAATATTTTCCAAACGAAAGGATTTGAAGACACTGGTATGATTTTAAGATGATTGGGTAATTATTTTGAACATTCAAATTCAGCACTAATCATATAATATTTTTTTTATAGGAAGACGCTCAAGTACTTCATTACTTAGTTCATTTAAGGTAACCCTTTAATGAAGAAGTTTTTAGAAAGTTAAAAGTAGTTTAAAAATATAATATTTAATTTTTTGTTTTTCAGTTTTATATCGTCCAAACATTCGCGAGTATATCTTCACACTGATATTCAAATATTATTTCCTCAACAAACTCCGGACGGTCAAATGTTTACAATTACTGATGGCCCTAGTGATCCGAAATATACACCATTTGCCAAATATAGTTCTTTTTCCAATGATGTTTATGATCAAACCAACGGCTAAATCAATGGTTACTTATGGGTGCAGAAATCATTTAATTGTTTCAAAAAAAGATTTTCCATCATAATCCTACCATATTTTGAGGTTTGGTGCTCTTCAATTTGACACTTTTTGTTCTTTATTTGGACACTGGTTCTTAATTTCGATATTTGTTGTTCTTAATTTTGACACTCGTTTTTTTACTATGACAATCTTTATTCTTTATTTTGACACACATTGTTCTTTACTATGACACTCATTGTTCTTTACTATGAGACTCGTTGTTATTTACTATGACACTCGTTGTTCTTTACTATGACACTCGTTGTTCTTTACTATGATACTCGTTGTTCTTTACTAGGACACTTATTCTATACCTTACCTAAATGCTTTAACATATATTTCTAAATGAAACCTTTATAAACATTTTGTAGGGTTGGTTTTTTTTCGCAGTATTTTAAGTATAAATAGTGTAAATATAGTCTTAAATATAAGTTATTTCGATAGAAGTTTTAATTTTTTTTACTTATTTATAAATTAAAAGCAACTGTTATTTGCATCCTTAGAAAATAGTCTATATGCACAATAAACAATTTAGCGCAAAGTTCTATTACCTTACGGACAACTTTTCCATATTATATTTCTGTTTTTTCATTGACCGCAAATTTAAAGAGCGGTATTATTAGGATGCAAAGCATTTTAAATTACAAGATATTTTATGTTTTTGTTTGAGTTTCTATGTAACAGTGGTGTCGCTGTGGTTGGTGTCACCCAGAGCGGTAAACTTTTGGTGTCACCCCTCAAGACTAACAGGTAAAAGATTAATATAAAAAATGTCCTCTATAGGCCGGGTAAATAAAAAAAAGCTATTTTTTATGCTTACGTGAATAAAAATTTGAGCAAAATTGCTCAAATTTTTTTTCCCGTAATTATAAAGTTATGAGCAAAATCGCTAAATCGCTTTATCCAAGCAATTACTCAAAAAATCTTTTACTCAGCTTTTTTACAGCGTTGCCCTGAGCGGAGCTCATCTTCTCACTACAATCTTGAAATAAAGCAAACCACTTATTACCCGCCTCTGTATTATATTTTAGTGCTCGATAAACATGAACTAATATCGGTTCATCAATTAAGACTAGATCTGAAACCCCGAGTAGAGAACAGATTTTTCGACAATTACTTAAAGTATTCTTTATTAAATAAAGATTAAATAAAGATTTATATTTTGCAAGACATGCCACATTTTTTTTAACACATAATATATAAACCAATAAATAAAACAAAATATAGAAAATAAAAAGTAGGTGTTTAAAAAGCCACAAAATAATAATATAATTTATTAGTATCAATAAACTTTAATGTCAATAATAAAAAAGAAACACGAATCTTGACGAACAAGGCCGCTGCGCGGAGAAACAAGTTGAGCGCGGTACTACCAGGGACGTGGTGGAGATCGAACTCGGAACCTCTCGCTTATGAAGCGAGTGTTTTACCACTACACCACTACCACATTAGCTGCTGCCGATTTGCTTTAATTAACCTGCCTACCTTTGTCAAAACTGCAGCGCCATCAGTGGTAATACCTAAAATATTCTTGATCGGAAGCTTAAAATCACCTAACCTATCATTGACAAGCCCAACACATTTTTCTGCGGGAAACGTTCCAAAAGCACGATATAATCCTAGATTCTAAAATTCTTTGTCAGAGTGGACATTAGTATTTATGTAACGTCTATTTCTTATCGATGTCCATTCATCGAATTCGATAGTTAGAGAAAATCTGTTTCCATTAGCAATTCTGCTAGATAAATCTTTCGTATATTTTTACTGTAATTCAAGACCATTTTTTGAATTGTTTTGTGATTCTTTGGAATGTTAGAAAAGCCTCTGGCTGTTAAGCCTTTTCTGATATCATATGATGTGCAGATAATGTTGAGTGATAAATCACCACACGCAGTTATCCTAGCTAAAATAGCTGGCAATAAATCATCCATTTTATCACTTTTAAAAAAGTTGTTTATAGTTACAGAAGGTTTTGATGTCTGTACAAATTCTGAAGAATCTAAAACAGTGGGGCTACTTACATCTCTTTTTAATAAATTGATTTTATGAATTGTTTTTAAATGGGTATGAAGATCGCTTGTAGCACCTCCATGTGTTTTTATTATTCTCTTACACAATTTGCATTTAGCACACTGTCCTGCTTTTTCTCTTACAAAATGAAACCATGGTGAACTTTTATCGTTTGCTCGGGGATGTTCCTCAAAATCTTGAATATTCATATCGGTGTAAAGTACAAACTTTCTAAAAGCTGGAAATACGATAATAAAATGTATAATTTATAAAGTATTATTTAACTTACCGTTTGAAATTTTATATAATATTTTAATTTAACTAAAAATAACCAATATCATATACCCACATTTAATTTTGTACGATGAATTTTGTTTCCATTTATAAGATCTATTAAAATTTTAAACTTTTTAAGCTTTCGAATGGCGAAATTATTTCGAATACCGAAATATCGGTATTCGAAATAATTTCACCATTCGAAAGTTTTTAAATTTTGTAAATTTTACTTCATGGTGAAATACATAATAATAATTATGCAAAGAATAGAGCATGTAAGTTTTAAAGATAATTTTTAACACCTATGTTTATACAAACACTATATATATACAAGCATAATTTAAATATGCATCTATTTATTTTATTACCTATTTTTTATCCGGGGTGGATGCAGGTTATAAGTTTAGTGTATCAAAAAAAAAAAAGTGCAATACGCCATGTTGTAAGTGACGTAACTACGCTCGCTGCGCAATTAAAAAAAGCCGGGGAAAGAGGTCAAAAACCATATCTTTTTATTTGTTTTATTTGTCTTAATGCAAACTCAATTCAAAACCAAGTTAATTTTCCATCAGGTTGTTATTAGCATTTTTGCGAACACGATTCTTAAATATAGTAAAAGTTAAGAATCGAATAAGAGCGTAGCCTGACTCGATTAACTTTGACCTGTTTTCATTTCAGTAATCACAGAAAATGTATATGAAAAAAAAAAATCTCAATTAGCGGTAGACCAGCGAATTTATGTGGCTTTTTGTATTACGATGTTGTAACAAAGAGGACGGAGGGGCTTCAAATGGTTGAAAATTTAGTAACGTAATTTGTGAACGATCCCTAAGTTAACAGTTTTTTAATTGTGTTTGATTTTAATTAAAAAATTTTTAATATTAAATCACGTGAATTTTTGCAAAATTCACGTGATATTAATGTCCGTTATCACATATTTTAGTTTTTTTTTTTTAAAGAAATGTGATGTCTATGAGTTTATGTTTCAAAAAATATATAGTTTTGGACTGTAAAAGATGCCTTTTATACCATAAAACTGTTTTTTGTGGTATTATATTTAGTTAAATTTTTGTGGTCCTGGCTAATTTGTTAATAATTTTTTGATATCTTAAAGATTTTTAAGTGCTTGAGCATTTTCTTTACAAAATGCACTACTAGTAGTTTTAAGTCTTGATTAGTATCATATAAATTTTTTCTAAGGCATAAAATCAGACTTTTTTTTTTTTGTAAAAAAGACAAATTCACAAAAGTCATATTTTCAGTATAGTATGTATGATTTTACTGTTTACAAATATTATACATTATTATATATTAGTATTTATATTAGTATTAATATTATATATTAGTACGAGTATTATATATTAGTACGAATATTATATATTAGTACGAAAAAATTAAAAGAAGATTTTTAAAGATTTTTGGGCCCTAATTCTAATTTTTTTAAAGAGAGGGACCTCCAACTTACTAGTCCTAACGAAGTACATTTGCCACCAATCAAATGCCAACTGCTGCAAATTCTAAAAAGTATAGGTTACAGTGTAGAACGTATTCTTAATCGACTGAGATTTGTACTTTCAATTGCAAGGAAAATGACTGAGGAGAATGAGTTATTGAGTGTTTTTTTATTTAAAAGATCTAAAATGTCTTCACTTTTGTATTGAAAGTAACAAAATTACTCTTATGTAACACCGAGAAAAACAAGTTAAAATAGTGTGCAATGGTGATGAACATTTTACTTTTTTAAATTTGATTTGAACAAAGAAAAAGTAGAGGAGTAAACAATATAATCAGGTAAAGAATTCAATTTTTTTCACAGTAGAAAAATCTTCATGTATTATTTTTACATTTGATACGTGAGTTAAATTTTTAGGCATGGCATCTTGTGGTATAGTAAGAAGGAGCAAATGTATAAAACTCAGAAAAAGGTAGTTCGACAAGACTGTATATAATTTTATAGGTCATTATAAGATAAAATTTTATTTACAAGAGATTTTAGATTGAAGATATTGAGTCTTGAAGAATAATCTTTATAATAAATGCGCCATCTTATACAGACACATCTTATACAGATATAAAAGATTTCTGAACCTTTTTTAAACCGACATAAATCTTTTTAAATATGGGGATTCCACATAGAGGTACAAGATTTTTTATAATAGGTCGAGCATAAACTTTATAGGTTTTGATCAGAAGCAAGGAATCATTAAAATTTAAAAATTGATGACGTTAAAAATGAATTTTAAAATTAAGCAAGTACAAAAATGTGCCTTGCTTGCAATGAAAGAACAGTGATTAGAAAACCTCATATCCGAAGATGCAATTTTACTGATATCTTGAATTGATTGATTTAATAGGCATATAAATGTTTATTGAGTATAAATTTAATGGTAAAGAACCGTTTCCATAGAGTAGATGAAAACATTTTTTGGTTGCTATATTAAGTTGCTAAACTTTTGACCATTCTGAAAAATTAAGGTATTGATATGGTATATGTTGTTTTCATCATTGCTCGATTGACATTACTTGCTGTCATTAGCAAACAACTTAACGCTGCAATTACCTTCAATACATGAAGTTACATCGTTTATAAAAACTAAAAATGTAGGGTGGAATGCAAGAAGCAAACTTGAGTCAAGATCGACTTAACTTTTATAATATTTTTTATATTAAATTCTTTCATCACTGAAATTGATTCATTACAAAGTAAACAAATAGACTTACCATTATTTAGTGCATTTTTCTTGAAACTGGCGACCCTCGATATCTACTTTTCTTTTCTTTCCAACAGACATCATTTTCGTTTACTTTTGGTTCGATAAACTTATCTCATTCCCTACCAGCAGTTTTAACAAAAAACTTGGCGCACATTTTTTTAGAATTTGGATGACATAACATTGCAAAGTATTTTGAAACTCAAATAGTAAATCTCTTTGAAAGTATGACAAACTATGTATCGATAGAAAGCTTAACAAATTAACTTTTTAATTATATACGTTTTTAACACGCTTTATTTAACAACAAGAAACTTCATTTAACAACAAGTAAGTGCTTAAAACTACTGTATTTATAAGAATCAACCACATTAATTCCGGCCTCGAGATACATCAAAATTTTTAATTGGGTTTTTCAAAATGTCTTGCGCGCCGGAACAAAACTCAGG